TGCCCCCGGGGGAACACGCATATATTCTGTCTCTCTTGAGTGCCAAGATCACTACAAACGCTGCATATAAACAGGATTCACATTGATCAAAGTGAATTTAGCTTATTAAAAGAGGATTCTATGCAGAAAGCTGATTTCCTCTGCCTGAGCATAATTCAAGACACTAATAATGTAGTTTAAGCTGAAAAAAAAAACCCACAGAAAGAACAAAATGCCTTTTTGCCTCCAGTCAAAACCTCCTTAGTATCACCATTAAGGAGCTTGATATCTCCTTTTTGCCTCTGACTGAAACGGAGCCACCCAGAGGAGCCCAGCCCAGCCAGGATCAAACAAAACCCATCTCCTCCTGGCACGCTGCCCACCCTCTCACGGGGAGCTTTCAGGGAGCACATCCCCCAGCACCAGACACTTGCCCTGAATACCTCTGGATGGCAAGGACCCACGCAGTTGCTTGTAAGCAGAAGATCTCCCACACTGCCACTGCTGGCAGATGTGTGGCCCAGACCTAGGAGTGCCACCAAGCTGTGCCCTGGGGGTACCAGAGATGCTCCCCTGGCCTGGCTGACCCAGCGTGGGCTAATCTTTTGCAGCTGCTCCTTCTCAGAGAAGACAGTCTTTCTAAAATCTTCATGGCAAAGCAGTAAATGCATCTTCAGTTAAACTGTATAGAAATGATCTAAAGAAAATCAGAGCAATTGTGCGAGACTTAAAATTGCCACCAGATGACTGGGTTTGGCAGCACTGTGGGAAAATGCATCATCTGTGTTTTGTCAAGTGCTTGCTGCTCTGATCTGGTGCCTCCCACACTTTTAATTTCCCTGTCACGACACAGAGAACGACACTTGTGGAGAGCTTGCACGGGGGTTGAGACACAGCCCCTCTCCCTGCAGGGCCCCAGTGCTGCTGAGCACATCCCAAAGGGACAGGGCAGGCACAGGGTGTCTCAGCTTTGCCCTCACATCCAACAAACAAGTGCAGCTGATTTGGATCCTTAGGCAGAAGGAAGAGCCCTTGCTGTCGTCCTGGCAGTGTCACAAGAGCAGTCACACGTGAGCTCTTACACTGCCCCACAGCACTCCATGGGGTGAAGGAGGGGTGAAGGAGAGGTGCACAGGCACTTCCATCAGAACAAGGACTGCCCACCTGAGCACTCAGGTGCATCCTGCTGGCAAGTGTCTGACCTCTGCAGCTGCCCAGGTCCCCCACAGCCAGTGCCCCCGAGCAGGGCGCTCCTGCCTTGCTGCTCAACTTTCCCACTATTACTCAGCAACATCAGAGGATGGGAGGAGGGAGATTGCACCGAAGGTCTGAGCCAAAATCACCCATCTCCTTCCACTGCCGAAGGTCCCTGGCTGCTCTCTTTGAGCTCTAGCCCAGATGCCTCTCCCAGGTATCATCAGCACTTTGGCTCTGAAGTTGCACTTCTAACACAGAATCTTACTGTTGGTGCCCCAAGGTTTAAGCTGCAGGTCATCTTTCAGTCAAGAACGGTTTAAGTTATCACACTTGGGCTTTGACTGCTCCTTTCTTTAACCTAATCTTAAAATTTCCCTTTATCTTTCAAGTGTGTCATTTATCCCACCTGCCAACAAACACTTCCACTAAATTTGTCTGTTTATTTAAACAGTGACATTATTTGTCAATTAGCCTGCCAAAACTTCATCCCTAGTTGTAATCAGTAGCACACATCAGGGACCATTCAAAGCTGAAATTGATACAATCTGCCCTGCAGCCTCTTGCAGAAAAGAGCACAGAGAGAAGCAGGGTTCCCACAGAGCGCGCTGCCCGCGGCACCCCGGCACTCCCAGCGCGGCTCTGCAGGGCTGTGCCTGCTTTCCAGGGATTCCTGCTCAACGGTGCCTCCCCGGCCCAGCCTGCCTGCGAACGAGGTGCAAGGCCAGAACGATGGCCGGGATGCTGGGAACAGCAGCAGAGTGAGAGGGAGCAGGAGCCCCAAGTGAAGGCACTTGATCCTTCCCCGTGCTTCACACAGGGCACAAAGTGCCCCGAGCTCCACAGCCTGTGCTGACTTCACTGCTGCAGCTTCCAGCTCTGCTTACCCCGACAGGAGCAGCTCTGACTGCAGCCTAGCAGCTGGTCCAAAGGGCAGTGTGTGGACACAGGCACTCCAGGACACCTTGGAAAGGGACGAACTCCCCTCACTGCCAACCACCACCATATCCAACGCTTCCCTTTCACAAGCACAAAGGAGCAAAGCCCTGCCAAAATCAACAATGTAAATACTCTCCTTGCACTAGACAGGCATAAATCAAAAACCAGGAACAGAAATAAGATGGCATGGGCTTCACTGCCCCTGCAAGACAGCAGCTTTGTAACCACACTGTACCAGACATCACACTCCTCAGGCTGGACACGGCGCTTCTGGCCAGAGAGACACCTCCTCAAATGCACAAATTGTGGCTCTGGACAAGCTGAGCACTTCCATGACATTAAAAGCTTTCCTCACTGAGATGCTTTCATTTATGAGCATTTCATTCACTGACTACAAACAGCTTCTTACTCCAGACAGTTCCTTGTCTCGAGGCGTGCCCTGAATGCCCAGAGTGCCGAGCTCAACCAACACACTGAAAGAGCCCCACGGTGCCCACTCCTCCTGGGGATGAAGGTGTGTGCTCTGCTGCCTGCAGCATTAGCTCTGCTCACCACCAGAGATACCTGTGCTTTCAGCTGCAATTGCCCCAAGGCAAGCAGACAGGCAAGGCACTTGACAAGATGACCGAGGCAGTATTAAACTATTCAAATACTTTTTATTGACTCAATATCATCTGCTCTGTCCAGGATGCAGGAAGAGGATGGGATCCTGTCAGGCAAAGGCTCCAGTGCGGGTCCAGTCTCCTTCAGAAAGTCCTGATATCCTGGGACACAGTGCATCACTTGCTGCCAGCCTGCTCTATCCAGTTATCAAACACCAACTCCTACTCCCCGTGTACCCACTGGCCCCCCTCTGCTTCCCAGAGGCACCCCTGAGCTCAGCACTGCCCCAGGGTGAGGGATCACAGTCCTGATTGCTGGGCCCTTCCATCTGTCCCACACTGTGTGGCAAGCAGAGGGCAGAAGGGATGGGGAGGTGCTGACACAGCTCTGCAGCTGCCCAGCACCATCAGCACCAAAACTGAGACTTGCTTTGAGAACAGGATCAGAAACTGTGACTTCTCAGTCTCACCCTCACTCCACCACTCCCCGCCATCATTTCTCAGGATCCTCTCTGTACCCTCCCAACAGCCAGCACGCCAGCCACACACATCCCTTCCTCACAAAAGTGACAAACTAGAAGATAGAGGGGAGCCAGCTTTTTGCTGGAGCAAGCCTCAGCCTTATTCACTGAGGAAGGTCAAAATGCCATCTGAGACAGTCCTATAAGCTCGTGCCACCTCCTTGCCCACTCCGTGCTCACTGCAGTGCTTTGTGGCTCTTCCCAGTGATGCAGAAGTGCTGGGATTTATCCATTGCTGCTGAACTGTCGAAAGCAGGAAGCTCTGCCAGGCCCTCGGGATCAGGAACACCTGCCCTCACCCTCCTCTGGTGCTTGGCTGCAAACACACGAGGCAGCACAGCAGCTCTGGGCATTTGCCTGCCAGAAAGAGAGAGAAGTTGGCAGGGACAGCGTGGGCAATGAAACCCTAGAGAGGATCAGAAAAAGAGTGGCTGCCTGACAGACTCTGACGCTCCTTTGGGTTCCTGTCAAGGTTTTATTTATCTTCATCTGCAGTCCCACCCATCCCTTCCCCTTCTGAGAGAAAGAACCTGACACAGGCGCCACACAACCATTTGCATGTAGGATACCAAAGCTCTTCTGGTCCTATATATACAATTTTATTTTTAATGAGAAGTTCCATCAGCTTGTAGAAAGCCTTTGTCCCTGTGTATTGTTGATGAAAGAGGGAAAGCAAATCACATGGAAGCCCATAAGAATCCCCAAACAACTGCACATAGAAGCAAAAACTAGCATGAGGAAATCAGGCTGGATTATCATCATGGCACTTTTTTTTTTTTTCAGACTTAGAAATCTGTAAATTTAAAAGAAAACTCAGTTTTTAAAAGAAATGTTTGAACCTCTCAATTTATTTAACAGCACATGCCATTCAATCTAATAGTAGAGAACTAATAGGGATTATTTGCTGAACTTGTACTGCACTTTCTGCATATCCCATTGCCTAACCTTTCTTCCATCAAAGTCAAGGTCAAAGTTGATTACACGCTAGAGTAATTCAATGAGCACCAGTGAAACACATCCAACAAAGCCCCGGGAAGCTGTGAGCTGACCCCGGCATCCTCCCAAGGCACAGCACTGCCGTTTGCACAGCTGTGAGCACAACAAAGACAACCTGCTGCAGCATCCCCCATGCCGGCATGAAGCGCATCTGACCGCGTGTGTGACTTTCACCCCAGACCCCTGAGCGCGATTCCCGGGATCTATCGAGCTCCCGGCTCAGCGCCTGTGCCTCCCGCCTTGCCAGGTCGTGCCCTCCAGTCCTGCCCTATCCATGTGCCGGTTTCACATTGTCTGCACCCTGTTACTCCGCTACCTGTTTGCTGGATGCCCCGCACTCCTGTTCCCGTTAATAATTCCTGCTGCCACCGCCCCACGCCAGGACAAGCGCCGCTTCCCCGCGATGCTCCCGGCTCGGAGCGCTCAGAGGAGCACGGTGGCGGCAGGTGTGGCGGCCGGCGGGATGGGACGGCACAACACACCGGGAGGGGATCCCAAAGAGAGATCCCCATCCCCTGCCTTGCCCAGCCGCGCCCTCCTCACCCCTTGCCCAGCGCTTCCCAAATCCTGCCCCGCCGCTCCCTGCGCATCCCCCGCTCTGCCAAGCCCCGACCCAGCTCTGTCCTTTCTCCAGGCCGCCTCTTCCTCTTCCTCTCCCCGCTCTCGGCGCATCCCCTGCCCGGCTCTGCCCCTGCCCAGCGCCGCCGGGCTCCTCCCGCTGCCGCCCATCGCCGAGCGGGACCGGGCGCGGCCGCTGCCGGGCGCTCACCAGCACGAAGGAGCTGCGCACCGCCTCCGAGACGCTCTGCCGCAGCTCGGCCGCCGTGCCCGGCTTGCTGAGCCGCTTCGTGAACTTCCTCACTTCCGACATGGCGACATGATCCGAGCCGAGCCAAGCCGAGCCGAGCCGAGCCGAGCCTCAGGCTCCCTCCGCGCTCCCTCGCTGCCGCCGGGCGGGCGCGGCCGGGCCGGGGCGGGCGGAGCCGCGGGGCGGGCCCGCTCGGGTCCCTGCTCGCCCCGCCCCGCCCGGCCCCGCTTTGTCCCCGCCGCAGGTGGCCCGGACCCCGCCCCGGCGCGGGGACAGCCGCGGTGCCTCGCCCGGAGCGTGCCCCGCCGGCTCCGCGGCGATGTTGGCGGGGCCGCTCCGGGGATGCAGCGGAGACTCGGCCGGCGAGGGCAGCGGGCTCCGGCTGAACGGGCTGGACCTTTAGAACAGCATCACTCGGCGGAATGGGGCACCTGGTGATCTCCCGGCTCTCCCAGGTGATCCTGCAAGGCTGAGCTGGATCCAGGACGAGAGCTTTCTACGGAGCATCTCTGTGCTGGTCGGGGTTGCGTGAAATGTACCAGGGCACCGGGCTGTGTTTTGGGTTTGTGCTGGAAACTGTGTTGATAATTAGGGATGTTTTCCTTATCGCTGAGCAGCGTTGACACAGAGGAAAGGCAAGAACTTTTCTGCTCCTCACCCCACCCCAAAATTGCACCAATGAGCTGGGAAGGGACACAGCCAGGACAGCTCACCCCGAGTGACCCAAGGGACACCCCACACCCCATGGCATCAGCTGACTGGTAAAATCGGGGCCAGAAGAAGGGAGTGGGAACATTCAGAGTCTTCCCAAGTCACCATCACTCATGAGAGAGCTCTGCTGTCCTGGGGGTGCCTGAACATCTGGCTGCCCTGGGAAGTTGTGAATGAATTCCTTGTTTTGCTTTGCCTGTGTGAGTGACTTTTGCTTTACTTACAGAACTGTATTTAGTTTCCTCACTTATACCCTTCTGATTCTGCCCCCACATCCCACTGGGAGGAAGGGATGGAACAGCTGTGTGCAGCTGAGCTGTGAGCTGGGGTTAAATGAGAAAATACCCAACCTATAGAATTTGCTATAGGAAAGTGCTTTGGTTACAGAGACCACGATCACATTTGCTTGCCCAACTGCAAAACCAAGAAGTAAGGATAGGAGAAGATTCCTTAGGACTCAATTCCTATTCCTCATTACTTTGTCATTGTGCACTTCTTTGAAGGATGGTGATTTTGAAATTACAATAGAGAGCCTTTGTTTTGTTTATTAAAGCCTTTTAAATTTTTTTTAACTTATTTTGTGTGTTCTGTCTTCACAGCAAGATACTGAATTGAATAGAGTTGCCATGTAGTCATAGGAATTTACACACATTGTGCCATATGACTGATTAAGTACTATCTACAAGGATCTCACTGGAATTATAGGCATGCCATAAATCACACAACATATAGAGAAGTAGTTTTGATTATGAGAGCCAATCTGTAGGGGGTAATGAATACAGCCATTATGATCCAAACCATTCCAAATGTTATTTGTGACTCCTAAAGCATGCAAGCCAGTTATTGTTCTGCTTTTTAGGAGTTCACTGAAGGGGCAGCAGTCATCATTTCATATGAAACATTGCTCTGGGTTGTTACATCAGAGGCAAAACAAATCTGAAATTTTATTGTTAATTATCAAATATCTATTAGATGTGGGATAGAAAAAGTTGACAAGAACTTGCACTTTCACAACCATGAAGCTTTTCCAAACCCAAGTTAAATGAAAAGCATTGTGATGCACAGTTCCAGTAGCAGCACTGTGAGGTTCACTTCCTTATTCCCACACCCATGAGTGCTCTTGTAGAGATTTAATCAGCCACTTCAAATCCTCACAGCGACTCCCCTGCAGTCAACTGGCAAATAAAGTTATTAGGTCTCCTTCACCTGGCCACAAAAGGACAGGTAACACAATGATGCTGGTCACAGAGTGAGGGTAGCCCTGTTCAGGGTAGCCCCTGGACCCTGTGGCTCCTCAGAGGGGTTTGGGCACTCAGGAGAGCCCACAAAAGTGACTGTGGCCAACACCTGTGGCAGAGCCATTTCTGCCTTCCATTTGCTACGTTAGGAACAGCTCTGAGAACCAGAGTGTTTGTCTGGGGAGGAGAGTGCTGTGATGGTCACTTGACAAGAAATAAACCCTCCCTAAAGCACACACTCCATTTCTTATCTAGACAGAAGCAAAAGGTTCCTACAAAGATTATGAGCCTGGTTGGGTGCCAGCATCCAAAGAGCTGCCCATCAGCATCCCAGTGACCTGAGCTCAGCAGCCAGGGAAGACAGGGAACAGTGAGGCTGCTTTTTGAAGCAAAGAATGAAAAGGAAAATAAAAGCAAAGGAAAGGACACATCACATGAAAACAACCTGCAGAAAGCTGTGATTCCATCTGGGGCAGACTAAACATCAGAGGAAGAGTGTCAAGCACAAAAAGTGTTAAGGCAAGAACAACAGCAGCCACAGCAGCGCTGTTACAGACAAACCCAGGCCTGCAAGGACTGTAGTTTTCATCTCCTTTTTCACAGGGAAAAAAGCCAGTAATGGTTTATCAGCACAAGAAAGGCACCCAAGGACACACAGGAGCATTTGGAAGTGCTGAGGAGTGGCACTGCCTCAGATAACCAAACTTTCTCCAACTCAGTTTGCCATGGGCAAATCACAGATTCGAATGTGCTAATATTTTCATCCCTTTGTCCTTTTGTTGAGACTACAGCCTTGAAGTTCCCAATGTCATTTTGACCCCACATCTGCCTGAGTGATCAGAGGGTGAACAGCAGCAGCAGCAGCTTGTAGTTCCCAGTGAGGATACACACTGGAAGGTGCAGCCAACCTGGGCAAAGCAGCTCTGCTGCACAGCACAGACTACAGCAAGAGAAAATTTCCAGAGGACATCATATTAAACTGATAGTGGTATCCTTCCCACTTAGCAGGAGTACTATAGCACAGAAAATGCACTTTTTTTTTGACAAATATCTGTCAGTGCAGCTGATGCTGACATAAAGTCTGGAACAATATATAGGGGACCCTGAACTATCTCCACAGGCCTCCCAAAAGGTACTGAAGGGTTAGTGGCAGGCAAACACTTACCTATGTGGTTAACCATGAGTTTCACTGCACTGGGGAGGGTCCTGCATTCCTGCAGGGAACCTGCCAGACTGAGTTACACAGATCCAGATGTGCTTTTTTTGCCAGGCAGGAGGAGGATTATGAATGCCACAACATCTTCTATTTCCCAGCTTCAAAATTCCTGTGAGATACAGCTATGATGTGTGAATGTATTTCAACAAACCAACAAACAAACCAGAAAGTGTCCTTAGAATGATATCTGCACACTGACCCCTCTTGATAGCAAAGCCAGGCACAGACTGCCCCACATAAGAACTCCTTAAGCAACAAATTTTGTGCATCTTGTGCCTTCTGCCAAAGCAAATGAAGTGCTTGGGTATCTTGATCAGCCCGCACTCCTGAGCTGCACATGCAGCCAGCCAGCACTGCTGGTGAATTCCAGGGGGAACCTGGAAGTCTCGGGAGATACAGACAGTGTGCAAGGCTGGGTGTGGCAGGAGCAGCTGGTCAGACACCTCAGCTAGGGCTGCTCCTCCCCGGGAGCCACATGCCGTGTCACCCATCGCTGGAGGGGTCAGTGGCACTGGCATTAAGCAGCCACTTGTTGGCTTCTCCAGGCCTGTGAAGGGAGGCTGCTCCAGCCGGGCAGCAAGGAGCTGCTCCTGAGGCTGCAAAGCCCTGGTGTTAAAGGGCTGCCCTCTGCTGACTGAGCCCGGATGGACGGGCACAGCCCCTGGGGATGGGAGGAGTGCCAAGGCAAGCACTGCCTGGCCCCTCCGGGTGAGCATTCAGCTCTGCAGGAGCACGCACTGCTCTCCTTGTTCACCTCCTCCAGCTCCTGGGATGGAAGGCAAGCTGCAGGTGCATCCTAGCTGTTCCCATCAGCATCCACCTTCATGGAAGATCATACAAGGGTTTCAGGGACCTTGGGTAAACTCCTCCTTGCACAAAGGGCCAGTAAAGTGGCACTAAGAGGCACCACTGGTAATGGTGAATCCATGTGATATCTCAGGCTGCCCTTAGCACATCCTTAAAGGGACAATATTGACCCAGCAGTCACCAGATTTTTGTATTTTGTATTTAAAAGCTCTCCCAAAGTTTACCTCCTGAAAAATAAGGTAACTTCATCATATTTGATTTTAAAAAAATGTGACCAAGATGCCACTTCTGAAACACGCAGCATTAACTATTTTCAGATACAGAACTACAAATAAGATTAATAGCAATTCCAGCTGTATCTAAATCACTTCTTCTTCATTTTTCATATGTGGCTTTTTTTCTTCTGCCACAGAGAACTGAGCAGAGATAAAACCTCCTCAGTCCATGTATTCTGCACACCCAGACACTGGAAGGGAGAGAGGTCAAGATGTGGTTGTTGGTGAGGGCCAGCACTGTCTCACTGTACAGGTGGAGAGTCCTGACAGCAACTGCAGAGCTGCTGCCTGCACCAGCATCACAGACATGGCCACACACAGCAGTGACAGCACTGCTGTGCCTGCCTCACTGCCCTGCAGGCTCCACCCCTAACCCCAGGGAGAAAGGGCAAGAACAATTTCTGGTAAACTGGGAACACCTCAAAAGGCAGATGTTTAAATCTGTTCTAGTGTTTTACTACTCTGACAGGGAAAAAAACCCAACCCAACAATTTTTAAATGTTTATTTAAACATAGGAATTTCCTCTCTCTCATTTGTGCCCATGGCCACTTTCCTTCCACTGGATACCATCAGAAGTCTCCAATATTTACCTGGTCAGGAATTTTCACACCTGGGCAAATCCCCCTGAGATGGCTCTTCTCCAGGGTGGACAGACCCAGCTCTCTCAAGCTCTCCATACCTTGACTAGCCCTTTGTTGGACTCTCTCCAGCAAATCCCTGTCTCTCTGTGTACTGGGAAGCCCAGCACGGCAGTGATGATGCCCCTGAGCTGTTGCCCCTCTCTTCTGCATCCTGGGGCACAACTGATGAGATGGGAGAGATGGAAGGAAAGCACAGGGTTGGGGCTAAGCTGTAGAGCTCTACTCTAACACAGCAACATCCAGCTTATCAGCACTCCCC